GGAAACAAAAGTCATCCTCCCCCACGCATTGCAATGCTGTTTATTTTCACCAGCTGAAGGGCTGGCTGTGTAACACTCCTGTGCACATTTGTGGCTCCAAATGCCCAGAGTGTACCAGTCGTGGAGCTATGTAAACAGCACTTATTTTTTGCCTCGAACACAGGAAAAAGACATTAACAATTCTCTTTCTCATAAACTTTCCAAACCTAAATCCTGTATTGGAAGAGAGAGAAACTAGCTATGGCTCAGCAGGAGAAAATCCTCAAAACTGAGCCTAGATGGCTCAGTGGTTTGTCCTATATTTTCCCAAAGATACACGAAGACAACCCATTAAGTTGAATGGCCAAAAAGAACCCGACTGAAAAGACAGGGTGCTTGGGGCTTTCAGGGAAACAACTGGAAACCAAAAGCGCTCATGCCATGAGACAGCTCAGATGGCAGGGAGGGGACACAGAGAATGCTACCCGGTGTGAGGAACCACAGCAATGGTGCCCACGTGGCTGGGCCAAACATGAGTGCTGGAGGAAGAAAAGCAGATGGATGTTTGGAAACCAGTGGCCAGGCTAAGGGTGGCATAGCCAAGGAAGGAGAGGAAGTAGCCTGGCCAGGAAGGCAGCTCCTGGAATGCGCAAGCATCAGGTCAAAGGATTTAGATATCTCCCTGTGTTAGAAGTTGGTCCCTAGCCAGAATTTCTGAAGGGAAGTTCATCATTCTAGATCTGCACCGTCCATTACAACAGCCACACCTTCAAGTGGCAACACATAAATTTAATTCATTAAAATGCAAAATCTAGTGGTTCAGTGACACAAGCCACCTTTCAAGTATTCGATAACACATTTCAAGCAGCTTGTAACTCCCATCTTGGCCAGCACAGATACAGACCGTTCCATCACTACAGAAAGTTCTACTGGACAGCACTGTACATGAGCACTATGCAAAATGAGAAAAAAATTATTACCCCATGTGGCTTCTTCCAGCACTTACTAATGGTGACAATGGACAGATCAACTAACCATCTCTGTGTCTGTTTCTCCATCTATAAAACAGGAGAAGTTATACCCCCTACTTAAGACTTACATTAAAAGGACTCCATTATTTAATATACAAATATCACATAGAAACTGGCTTATTATAACAAACGTTGGCTAATTATCTATTTTGATTGCATGATATATATTACAAAATAACAACTGAAGAGATGTTTGAGAGATAGTGCATCTTTGTTAAGAGACATCTTTTAGATACACATAACCCAAAGTATCTAGGGTAAAAGGTTAAAATAAGGAATCATTTAAAAAATGGCCAATGAAGGGAAGCGTCTCAGTTTAAACAAGCAACAATGGTTATTATTGAGCGTGGAGCTTCTGTGCAGACTTCTTACTATCTAACGATGGAAAGGAAGTGAAAAGAGGTCAGAGGAACCGCTGATCACACATGACAGGTGTGCCCAAGTGTACACCGTCTCCAGGAATGCTATTCTGGGAACCTCCCCCAAACCCGACTACATGTTTGAAATGGCAGAGACCTAACAATGGGAAAGTAAGCCCAGACAACTTTAGAAAAAAAATAGAATTGAATGCCTTCCAAAGAAAATAATCATTAGGAGTAATAAAACCACAGATGGAAATTTTAACTCTACCTGCTTACCCAAAGCATTTCCAGGCTTTAGTTTTAAGACACAGATAACATGTTTGTAATGCAAAGAACCTCATGTCCCGGCATTTGTTATTTTGGGTTGAGAGACATGATATTAGAAAATGGATAATAAGTTTTAAGTTATGTTTATTATAGCAAAACAAGTAACTTAATGATGTTAGAATGAAGGTTATTTGAAAGCTCTCACGTCTGGTGAAAATGGTTAATAACTCACTTTAAAATATTTACTATTTATTGTGCATTCAGAATTTCAAGAACCACAGGTAACCAAAATTTTAAGCTTTGGTTAAAAAGTAAGGACTCCTGAATTCAGTCATTTCATTATGAATAAACAGGCATCCCCCTTCCAAATTTTGTTTAGTGTAACAAGTAAAAAGCAATTCAATTATTTATAAATATCTGACTATGTTTTTTTAAAAGCTTGGTCTTAGCCAAAAAAGTAAACTTTCCTTTAATTTGTAAACCATGGATGTCATAATTAATCAGTTGAATTGATTTGCTAATTTTAAGTGATTTATCTGATTTTAATATATTCAGAACTTAGTTTTTTGTTTTTTTATCCTCTGAAAGATATATGTTCTTGCTAAAGACTTAATCAAGGCAGCTTGGAAAGAAGAAACTGCAAATCAGGAATAGATAGTTTAGAAATTTCTAGCCCCAAAGTAATCATTTATTAAAAACTCAAGTTCTTTGCCTTAATTAGTTAATCATATATATATGTGTGTGGGTATATATATATATATATGGTTTTCATATGTTTAATATGTCCAATCATATCAATGGAGTATATGTTTGAATTCCTTTGCTATCTTTAGGGTATGAGCAAGGCTAAGTTACTAATTTCATTTACTAGGAGCTAAAACCAAGATAAAAGACTTGGCAAAATATTTAATTTATAACATAAACACACACACACACAGAAAGTCATTACCTTTTATATTACAAGATTTAAGTGGCACTTCTTTTGCCCTCAAAACTCTCTGAGGTTGACTGATTTGTTCGCTCTTTTAGCGAAGGTGTTCTCTGTGGCTGTGCCATGTCCACCTTGAGGTGGACACTGCAGGCCATGCAGGAACATGGCATTTATATTTGTAACATTTATGCATCCAAGTGGGTCTTACCCTAATTTTTCAGTGACATCATTACCTTGACTTTTATTCTCTTGCATGCAATTTGGCCTGATCTTTTTTTTCTAGTGAAGAAAATGATAATAAATATTGAAACAGAAATATTAATACATAAAATTAGTAATAAAGGCAGAATTATTCAGATTGTTTCCCTTTGGTTGCTTCCAGTGTCATAGAGGCAAACATCTGTTTCAGTACTTGGGGAAAATTACTACCTAGAGAAAAATAATTCTTCTGGAAATCCACGGAAAAGTGTGAAATAGGAAAACTGTTATCAGATAATCTTAGGTGATGCATTCTTAAAAAAAATATTAGGGGCAATAGGATATTCATCCTATTTTTTAAATTAAAAAGCTTTTTAAAACAAAATTTTTTGATTAAAAAAAAAGCTTAGCTATAAATACTAACTAAAAAAAGATACTAGAGCTTATAGGACTCTCATCTTCTGACCTGATTCTCCAGAATCAGGCTATATTCTCTAGATCCAAAGTATGAAGGAGAAGGAGCAGCTTCTTGAAAATGATTTACTCATCTCTCAGAATCTGTGATATATCACTCAGATTTTCACCGAGATTTGGGGAAAGAACTTTTGAGAGGTAGCAACTTCATTGTCTATTTTCCTCTTGGGCATTGTCGCATATTTCACTACTCTGTTCACTGATCCTAGATCTACAAGTCTGCTCTAAAGAATCCTTTTACACCCAACACCACAAAACCTACGTCTGAAAATGCACCTTACTACAATCAGTAGGAGCTGAAAAACACTGGCTGAGATGCTATAGCTAACACTCAAGGTAACACAGGGTTTGAAGGTCAGCCAATTTCAATCCAAATGGAAAACTCAGGATACTAAATGGCCCCACTTACTGAACACAACCAACAGAGAAAAGCCATCCACCAGGAATTACTTGCAGAATGCAGAATGCTTTGTTTCCTGCTGTTTGTGGATCATTGATGCAAAAATCTATGAATGACAAGACTCAACTTTAAATAATGGCAGTCTCTAGGAGAAAAGGACTTCTCTTTTAAAAGTCACTTTAAGTAAAAAGAAAAATCTTTTGTTCCTTTTCTAACAGGCAGACTTTGATGCTTTATTTAGAACAAAATGATATATCCATTATCCACAAGTTACATCTTCAAAAGGTCAGAAAATAAAGCAAATGGATGTATAGCTCTGAACACATTCACAAAAAAGAAAGGTCTGAGAATATTCAAGACCCTCAAATATGCCCTCCTAAAACACACCACTTCTTAACAAATAGTGGGTAAGATGAATATATTTAAAATGCTCCTGGGAATACCATGTGCCCAGCATGGCGACTAATAATAGTGCTTGCATTGTCAAAGAATGCATGTAACCCCGGTTTGGAAAGGTACTGCCACCATGGAGTTTGGTTATGAGAGAGGCTACTCATTTTAAGAGAAGGAAGGTCCAGTAGAAGAAAGTAGCATTAGCATTTTCTCTTATCACTGCTTATTTTTAATTCTTTAGTAGATTCTTATAAATTAATTCAAATACACCTTAATGATCCATTCTTTTGGGGTGCCTGGGTGGCTCAGTGGGTTAAAGCCTCTGCCTTCAGCTCAGGTCATGATCCCAGGGTCCTGGCATGGAGCCCCACATCAGGCTCTCTGCTAGGCAGGAAGCCTGCTTCCTCCTCTCTCTCTCTCTCTCTGCCTACTTGTGATCTCTATCTGTCAAATAAATAAATAAAATCTTAAAAAAATAATTCCATTCTTTCAATGAAATATGATAAACATGAATTACACAAAACAACAAATTCTAATTATTAGAACCTACACCTTTTAGCTCAGTAAGACATAATCAAAGGTACTGGGGAGAAAATTGTGTGATCTTTGGCTAAAGTAACATAATGAGCCAAGAATCTTCACTAGCAATGAACTAGTGAAGTACATTCTTTTTTAGCCAAAAAGAATGTACTTTAAAAACCCAGATCTAGGGTGCCTAGGTGGCTCAGTCCATTAAGTGTCTGCCTTCGGCTCAGCTCATGATCCCAGGGCCCTGGGTCAAGCCCCACATCAGGCTCCCTGCTCAATAAGGAACCTGCTTTTCCCTCTTCCTCTGCCCCTCCCACCTGCTCATGCTCTCTCTCCCTCTCACTCCCTCTCTCAAATAAATAAATAAAATCTTAAAAACAAAAACAAAAAAAAAAACAAGCACAGATCTGCAACTTCACCATGCACCCGATATTTACCTTAGACAACTCCATGCCTGGCCCACATTGCTTGCAGAGAACACAATTTCCAGACCGATCCCTGAATTCTTGTTGTCGACAGTCTCCTGTTTCACAAATCACTTTACATGTCTGAAAAAAAAAGTTTCACAAAACAGCATTTTTAAAGAAAGTTAATTACATTTTTTTACAAGAAAGGAACAACATCATCAGTATTTATTATTCACTCTATCAATGACTGTTAGCTTAAATTCAGGGTGAAGCCAATTTAATTTGCATTTTAGGAAGAAAAATGACTTTCTGAATAAGTCAGTGGAGCAAATAAATCAATAAGCCTGATTCTCTTCTGTATTTTCTGAATGAGGGCTCCTTTTCTTTCTTTCTTTTTTTTTTTTTTTTAAATTCAGGGCTATCTTCTTCTGATACTTTTCTGAGAGTCTAAGGTAGAAAATAACTCAGGACCTGTTCTCTTTTCTAAGTAAGAAGCACTGGTGAACAACCTATTGGTCTGTAGAATGACTGTTACACCAGGGGCACAGGGAATTGTTTCTGATGATTGTAATAATAAGTAATTATTCAGTACAAACTACCTCCATCTTGAAGCAGGAGTGCCTGTAATGAAGTCCTGCAAACTAACTAAATAATATCAAAGTCTGAACCTCTCCAGCAGGCAGGAGGGAGAAGTCGGGGTGGGGTTCAGGAGTAGAAAAAAATCTGGGGCTAAAGGCCTAATAATCTCTTCCTGCCTCTCTTAACTCCCCTTGACACCCATCCTAAGGAGTCTGATTTTATTTTCGAGAGGTAGGAGATTCCATTCAGCCACAGAGAGACTGTAATCTCTTTGAGAAATAAATTCCACTACCTCCATTCTAGACGGTTCATATGGATGTGGAACAGCCTCAGTTGAAAGAAAGGAAAATTTCCCTCCTCTCCTTGACTCTCTCCCCTTCTCTCCCAGACTCCAATGTGACTCCAACTCCTCTTGCTTTGTCTTTCAAGAAGACTTTAGGTACTCTCTCTAATAATTCAGTAATTCATTTTATGTTTGCAGATAATGATCTTATCTCCAGATTAAATAAATTTCAATTCTTACACCTGCATAGATCTTTCGAGTTAAGTTTTCAAACATTAAAATTCTCCATCTGTCTTTAATGCTTTTTGGAACCAAAAAGGATATAAATAACCATATAAAAAGAATAGCTCTTTTAAAAATCGATTCTAATTTCTTCACAACCCATGCAAATCATGGGCTCCAAAAAGAATGTGGTCTCATTAGGGCCTAGGGTGTGTTATGGAGACATATACCCATACACCCAAGGGAGCACCATTGTCATGGGGCTCTGAGTAATGGTGTGATTTTTTTTACTTCATCTAAATGTAAATAAAATAATTTCAAACAATTGCTATAAATGTCAAGACTGAGCAACAATCTTTTATTAATGACCTGCAGCATCGATAAACTACAATTTGAAAGAAAAATTCAAAAGATGGGATTAGAAATAGAAAATAGTTTCGGTGCTACTAAGATGACCCTTCCACCACATTCTTACGAAAGTAAAGACTTGACTCACCAAATAGACCAGTAGAACTGCGATGGTGCGAAATGCTTTCTCTTGTTCCAGGAGCACTTTTAAAGCCATGGCTCTTATTACATGTATTTATTGTTGAAGAAGTTTTCTAAAAGACAAGAAGATGTACTTAACCATGATGACGTTGGTCACTGTGTTCTGTACTCACTCAGAAAGTTTACAGTTAACCTATATACTAGAGGTCACACTATTTATGTTTTAAAGGAGATCACTTGGTAAAAGAGACATGGACAAGTAATAGGTAAGCCTTTCACAATGTAGGTTATGTTAGGAGACTGGAAGCTCTGTATCCCTACACATATGCAAAACTCCTATGGGCTCTGAACTCCTAGGGTACACCTAACTTTATTTTCTTCTTTCTTCTTTCTTCTCCTTCTCCTTCTCCTTCTCCTTCTCCTTCTCCTTCTCCTTCTTCTTTTTTTTAAAGATCTTACTTTTTAAAGTAATCTCTACACCCAATGCAGGGTTCAAACTCACAACCCGGAGATCAAGAGTGGCATGCTCCCCCAACTGAGCCAGCCAGATGCCCCTACACATGCCTTTATTTTCTACCCAAGTCTCTAGAGTGTTCAACCACTCTACCCAGTAGAGAGTTATATTCGAACAGGGACTGTATAAACCTTCCATGTGGATGCGTTTTGTCAGCGCCAAGAAGTCAAGAATGGTGATAAAATAGCAATGAATATGTGCCAAACACTATGGGCCAGGGATTCTCCAGCTTATTAATGGACTCATTTACCTTCACAAGTAGATATTATCCTTTTCTATCCTAATCTCCATTTTGGAGATGGGGAAACAGACTCAGAGAGGGCTGAGCCCCTTTTTCAAAACTAACCATAAGAGACTGTGGACTCTGAGAAACGAACTGAGAGTTTTAGAGGGGCGGGAGTTGGGGGGATGGTTGAGCCTGGTGGTCGGTGTTAAGGAGGGAATGGATTACATGGAACACTGGGTGTGGTGCATTAACAATGAAGCTTGGAACACTGAAAAAATAAAACAAAACAAAACAAAAAAGATACACTAGTAAGAGGCAGAGAAGGATTCACACCCAGGGTGGGTTGGCTCCAGTGTCCCTGAGTCGTATATACCCTGTAACACAATCTGCTCTGTTTCATAAAGACATTACACTTGGGTCTTGGGCCTCCAGCTCCACTAAGAACCAGATACAGCTAATGTCTGGCATTTGTGAGTTCTTCCTCCAGCCAGAACAGTCAAAATAATCTATGAGCAGAAAAATGAGCAATTATTTTAAAACATCTAAAAATTATTTACAAATGATGAACTTGGAGGCATTCACTTTTCAAGAAAAGGTAAACCAAACCTTATCTTTGCGATAATGACGTAAAATGTGGAAACAAACATGGTTGTCTTTTTTTTTTCAGATCCACACAATGTTCAGAGAAGAGATTAATTTGGGGAAAAAAAAATGGGGGAGGGGGAGACTCAGCTGGTGGCTCCATCTACTCGGTAGAGAAACAAGGGCTCAGTTTCTCTTCAAAGTGGAATCTTCCAAAACTAACAGAGACCAAGAGCAGACAGTGTGACTACTTAGAAAGAAACCAGAGCAGAGAACCAGAACTGTGGGCCAAAGACCTTAAGAAAAACAATAGCAATTAACAACAAAGGAAGCTCAGCTGTCAGGCTGCTGTCTCTCTGTTGGCCAAGCAGCCAGCCCTGGGGTGAGCCTGAACACAGTCTGGAGACGGACAACCCCAGAAGGCTATTCCAGCTGCTTGAATAGCTCCAATTATTGCACAATGAAAAAATCACTCTTTATGTTTGTTGAATGAATGATCCATTTTGACTGAATTCAAAAGTTTTTTGGCTTTTCCAGCTCCTTGGTCATAGCTTCTTTTGCTTATCTCGAAATGACCCAGCCATTACCCAACCAGGCAGCTTCCTGCTTGTGCAGGCACAGGACTGGGATGAGAAGATAAAATCACATTCCCTGAAAGGTGTGTTTTGGGCTATCTCTTTCTTGACACAGTCCTAATTTTTTAAAATGTGCTGATTTTTTAAAAGAAAAACATAAAATCTGTTGGATTGAGCTAATAGGGAAATGAGGGTATAAATACCAAAGCATTTACACAAAATATGAGAAAAAAGAGATCGATAGAGTCAGTGCATACCACAATCAAGCATCTAGTTTGGATGGACCATTACACTGGAACTCTGTACTAATTATTGTGAAGGCACACAAATACTGTAGCATCTTCTTGTAAAGGCAATCACTACCATGCACATCAAGTTAGAAGTTATGGCAATATGATTTTGACTTTAGAAGATACACCTGTTTTATGTAAAAAAATAAATAAGTCAAAATACCATCAGCAGTTAGGTTCATATTGGGGAATTCTGGATGAATTTTTTTCCCCTCTTCTTCCTAAAAGTTCTTTCTAGTGTAAGTACTTCATTAATAACGGGAAAAAAAAAAAAAAAAACATGTGTCATGTTCTTGGAGCAAAAAGGCAAATTACATAGTCCTCCTTGAAAAATCTATAAATTATGGAGCACCTGGGTGGCTCAGATAATTAAGCAGGTATCTGCCTTCACTCAGGTCATGATCTCCAGGATTGTGGGATAGAGCCCCATGTCGGGTACCCTGTTCAGGTGGGGTGTCTGCTTCTTCCTCTCCCTCCCCCCCGTTTGTGCTCTCTCTCTCTCTCAAATGAATAAGTAAAAATAAAAAAGAAGGTCTATAAATTAAAAGCAGTCATGAGATAAAAACCACATAAACACTATTACAAGAAAAAAGAAAATTGAAGTACTATGATTTTTGCATCAGAAGGAGATTTCTTTTAGATGATAGGGCACAAAAATTCTGAATGGAACTATATCCTATGTGCTGACTTGTCTTATTCTCTCCACACAAAATGCTAAGTTGAATAGTTTGAGTGGGTTTATCTTGGCAAATTACCCTTGAAAGTCCTTAGCCTGGCACCTGTCCGCTTTATAACCTCACCTGCTAGCGTCCCCCACTCTTGTCGTCCCTGGTCACTGCTCTCACACCCATCCAGCACTGCCATAGCCCAATGTCCACATTTCTCCTGAACACCTGTGGTCTTGCCCCCTTGAACAGACTGTAACCTTGGTCTGAGAACCTTTCTCACTAAATCCCTCCAAGAAACTACTCAGTTTTCACTCTGCCGAGATGGTGTTCACGACTAAGCACACTAAAGCGATTTGCTTCCCATGGCCTGATCGGCCTTTCTGCATTCACGCACGGCATCAATCACATGGCATAACAATTATGATTACTGGTATACCAGTTTCACTCACCAGACTGTATGTTCCTTTAAAATAAGGACACCGCCATATTACTCTTTGTATTCCCAGTGTGTAGCTTAGTACCTGGCTCATATAGGCACATAAAAGTTTGCTGAATTAATTAAGTGAATAAAGATGCACATAAAAATAAAGAGTATATTGTGGAAAACAAGTGACATTTGGTTGCACATAACTGATTTAAGTCTTCTGTAGTAAATAAGAATAAATATTCTATCTCAGATATGTCCTATTACCATGTCATATCTATAAGGCATTAAGTGCACTGGACTAGAAGACAGGATTGAATGATATGGTGATGTATTTTTTAAAAATCCTAATACACTTTTTTAAAAATGTGAGTTTTTGTTTCAAAAGATTTTATCCATTTATTTGATAGACAGAGATCACAAGTAGGCAGAGAAGCAGACAGAGAGAAAGAGGGGGAAAGCAGACTCCCCGCTGAGCAGAAAGCCTGATGCGGGGCTCGATCCCGGACTCTGGGATCATGACCTGAGCCAAAGGCAGAGGCTTTAACCCACTGAGTCACCCAGGCACCCCAAAATGTGAGTTTTTAACAGAAGATTTCTTACTCTGGAGCTAGAGATAAAAAATGCACCACTGGAATATGTCACTTCTCTTTCCTGTGACTTCTCTCCTAGCCTGGGTTTTTTATACCAAGAGGCTGGGAAAGAATTTAGCCTGGGTAGATTGTCCTGACAGCAGCTGGGATGATCTCAAGTCCAAGTTCAAATACTTTTCTGCATGTAAACCGAGTATGGGTAAAAAGAGCCTGGCTCTTTGGGGAAACTCTTAGGGGGAAATGGTGACTAAAACACCTGGGTTTTCAGCCCCATTTCTTAGCAAGTTCACTCTGAAACTACATATCTGTTGAGATAAAGATAGAACCTATCTCACAATGCTGGTGTGAGGATTACCTGAGATAATGTATATCAAGCGCTTAGCCCAATGCCTAGAACACTTAACGGATGACTGGGGCCGATGTGGTTCCTGTGGCAGTTGCACTGAGAATGCCACCTACTGGCGTGTGACCTTGGCCAAGTGACTTAACCTAGTCTCAGTTTCCTCATCTCTACATTGGGCATAGTGATAATACCTGCTTTCTGAAATGGCTGTGAGGAATTGGTGAGTTTAATAGCACTTACAAAGCATGGCTAACAGGGTGAACTGACCCAAACTGTTTCTGGGACATAATCAGTGCTACATAAGTGCTGGCAATAATTATTATTGTAGTTAATGACATTGGTACTGAAAATCAAATGATCCAATGTATGTGATGGTCTTTGAAGACTGTAACTTGTTAGGCCAACAGGAGACATTACGCAGACGGTCACAGTCCAGTGGCCACTAACATTTTAAGACCTCTGGACCTACTGGTATGCAGAAAACATTCAAAGATGAAGAATCCATTCAAAGATGAAGAATCAATTCAAAGCCTGAACTGAGCATTTTTATGTTGAGTACTACGTTAAGGTTTTATTAAAAAAAAAAAAAAAGTATAATTTTTTTCTTTACTACCACACTCTAGAGTAGATATTTATTTCTATCCCATTTGAGAGAACACTGAGGGTCAAAGGACACGTAATAGAAACGGTGAAAACCAAATAAAATCCATGTCTAGTAACTCCAAAATGGGGTGCTCAGGCACTCCGCAAGGTTGACTTAGGGTCGTATCATCCTAGGCTGCAGCATCCAATGGCCCATGGCACAGGAGGACGACGGGAACAAAAATGATCGACAGAAGCAAAACTACATTACAAAATAATACATTTAGTGATTTATCCATTTATTCAACACACTTTG